AAAAGATGAATAGATTTTAAAATGCACTTAACGTGGAAGATCGCCATTGTAAGTCCGCTGAATATTCATATGGAATTTCACACCGCTGACAGTGTTTCCGACAATAAAGTGATGTGTAGCACACTCGGCATTGTGAACGGAGCTTAAGGGCGTACGACGATACATACACTCGAGCAGGGAGCTGACAGCTGTGCCCGATAGCCCACATGGCGCTCTTTGCTCTTGTCGGGATGCAGGCCTATCGATTTTATCGCGCAGTTTCGCTAACGAATGGCTGGACGAACGTTGATTAGAAGACAGCGGTTTATCGTTCGTTATTGACTCGTCTTGCCAACTTAAAAGAAGCCTAGTACGTGTCGGCTACTTCGATCGGCTATACCGTTGCAACACCAAAATATTTGCATACGTAAGTTTGAAAATGTTCAACCTAGTTTGCCTGGTCTACCAAACGACTGAGGTTAGGATGTAAGAATGTGGATATCTCCAAGGACTTCCTATACATTCCGTACTTTCTAGCAACAGCCTAATACATCCAGAAAATGGATTCTGTCAACCTGTCGGGAAGCAACATTGTCGCTTAGAGCAGGAAATCCAGCTTTCTTCGGCGACACGGTAATCTCAGAATGGACAATCAGCATAATGCACAACGAGAATGGGTGGCTCGAAAATCCTCTTAAAGCAGCCTTAACGAGTGAACGACTAGGTGAGGCTGGAGGTGGTTTAATTGGAGCCGCGATGATGAATGGCACACGGTAGGCAGAGCCCTCGAGCTAGCTATCTTCCAACTTTAAACGACGTATCATCCGGAAATTAGAATGAAACCAAGGCCTACCGGTCGAGCAACGCTCGAGGCCCTTGAAATTCGCTCGGGAGAGTTACGATTCTTCCATTGGCGTTTTGCAATCATTAACGATCGTTTTAATTAGAGACCGTAACGATAGAGTAATAAAGGCTGATAGAGAATCTTCTTTACCGCTAAGTCTTTTTCGATCGATATTCACGCACAGAGATATTAAGCAACCGGTGAAAAGTACCTTCCGTTTTCGGAAGGAAACGCCGAAACTTTCACTGGCCACAGTCGCTTACCAATGATACCGTTGCCCCATTGTTCCCTTAACAGTTACGGCAATTAGATTATGGCTCCGCGTGTGTGGTAACCCGCGCTGACCTAATGAGAGTGTGTCGAAACGCAAATTGTTGCAATTTCTATACAGCACCAATTATTATCGTTATCACGATGAACACAGCGAAAGTTTCTAAGGAATAAATTTAACAACGCGTTTTCGAGCAAGCTTGCGAAACTCCGCTCAAGAATCTTCCTGCGTTCTTCGCTCTTTTTTTCTACCCACCGGACGAGGTTTGTTCTTGCTGCGAGGCTATAATGTGACTTTCAGCGTGCACGGTAGCCAACGGTGAGAAGAGAATTACGATGGCGATACACGGGGAGAAGAAGTACACGGAGCGCTTATTACGATTTTTACTGGCCTTTACGATCGCACAGTCGAACGCGCTATCAAACGCATACCTAACTGTACCTTCAATTGGACACATAGTAGCGCATGGCCACCGAATTTATTCTTGTTTTTAATCGATCGACCCAATTTCGAAATGCTCTTACGGCTTCTTCCTTCCTCCCTCTTTCAATTATATTGTCTTTACGCTCGAGGGGTGACTCTCAGTCACCATTTTATTTAATAATACGAAACAAGCATTTTTTAACTGATTCTATAATATGACACGTGTGATGTACAAACATAGAGAAACAAACAATAGTGGAAATTATTAGTAGAGAGAATTCATTTAATTTTTTAATTAAGTTTTAAAGTTGCTGTTTGCAAACAGTCAAATTACGTTCGAGCGCAAAGGGTTAACATTTTGTCCCTGTGAAACGAAGGTACTGAACGAATTCCCATGTGATGCAATGCAAAAGAAATCCGAGAAAATAAATAATAGAAAAGGGAGCCTAAGAAAACGGCCCTATGCCGCCTCTAAATATTTACAGTAGCCGTAACACGTGTTTCCTCTCATAAGCGTGCCAGTAGAATCTTTTTACTGTTCGTGCTTTACACGAATTTAATTCAATACCTAATTTGTGAGGTCGAACTAATTTCCTGAAAATTTCCGCTGGGACAATGGTGTCCCACAACGTCGCACACGAGTAGCCTACGTGTAGAACTCGTGTAGGTAGTCACTGACATTTGAAAATGTCAGTGGGCCCTCTTGCAATGCGCTGTTTATCATTTGGGTTAGCGAGTCGTCCGCGGAGTCGATATCTGTACCAAAACGGATGGAGTCATGGTAAAACATTTTATCTTTCAAGGTGGAAGCGACAAGAAAAGATTCATGGCCAACGTCGCGGAACATTTTTCTTTCAATAAATTCAATAAATTCTGAACTGATGATTTACGAAGTCTGCACTTGTAAAAATATACGATGGTTAAAACTGACTGATTTTTGGAACCTCTGGAAAATACGCTCCTTGTGGGAGACTTAATTTGAAGCCAAATATTGGCATACTTTCCTTCGGAGATATTTAAACCGTACAATTGTACAAAGAATTTTTGCAATTATGCTTTAAAAATGTTTCTATTTGCTTTCGTTATGAAGCTTAACCCTTATGAAGCTTTAACCCTTCATATTACTAAACGCTGGAATTTTTCTTTTTCCAACGACGCTTTTGTAGATACTTTCTAAATCTTCCAACTCGGCCAATGAATGTGAAAATCTCCCGAAGAATGTAACCTTTTCGTTGAGCGTGAATCCTTAATGCTAAATAGCTTGCTCTTTTTCCTTAATACAGGATTGACATGTTTAACCAACAGAATACTTATCACAAATACATGGACTGTTAATCCACAAATATTGTAAGACTGCAGAAAGGATGTTCACAGTTTGCGAGAGAGCAATTAAAAGAAAGCGTTAATTGAGTGTGCGTGTTCGACATCGAGCACAATGGAAATTCCTTGTAACGTTAATGAAAACTGCTCGAACTCTATCGGTAGCTAAAGAGACGCTAATCAGTGGTTAACGCACGATAGAGACATAACTTCCCTTTCAAATCGAAAGTGTCAGAGAAAGCCGGTAACGTGAACTGTGCTTGCGTAACGAAAGTCCCTTTAGGTATAATATTTGAACCAGGGAAATTCACTTGATTTAGGGAAATTCAGGTGGCATTTTCTTTTCGAAGAAGATTTGCAATCAACCGCTTAGAATTGTATGTAGCTTCGGATTCTTATTACCAAGATTATACGTCCATTCGTTGGTCCTGATTGATGTAACGACTATAATCGTGGCTCGAATGTCGGTGCCGGCCTCGCTAAGCGTCGTTTTAAATCACCCTACTGCTCTCCCATCGGTTCGAGTTCTAAATTTACGACTTTCTCCGGCCAACTTGAACTCGAAGCACCGTTTCGATATACACATTCGTGATAACTACAAACGCACGTGTTCGCGATTCGCGTTTTGCTGAATAAACCACGTTAGCCCGTAACGACGTTGTAACATTGTCTCGGACAATGCCGGCTAACGCGTGCGGGTAAATATATCGAACGATGGTTCATAAGTGGATGATGAGTCGATAAATCAAGCTGGAAAGCGGGATAATTCTATGTATTACGCTGTTACTGATGTCAATTCGTCTTTGTGCGGACCGTTGACACAGATTCCGTCATGCAAGTTTTACGAGCTAATGCGTTACGAATTTGAAGGATCCGATATATGTTCTGTGAGTATCGATTATCCGTAATGTTGCATTTCGAAGTTCCTAACATCGGTTGACCCTTAATTGCCACATTGCTGTACAACTGTAAATGTTCAGATGTTCCGAAAATTCTGGTATGAATATGACATACACTTACATGCATGTATATCACATATGTATGTATCACATGTATGACTTAAACTTGTGTGTCACATATGTGACTTAAACTTGTATGTCACATATGTGACTTAAACTTGCATGTCACATATATGACTTAAACTTGTATGTCACATATGTGACTCAAACCTACATGTTACATATGTGACTCGAACCTACATGGTTCATATGTGACTCAAACCTACATGTTACACATGTGACTCAAATCTAAATGTTACATACATATGAGACTCAAACCTACATGTTATACATGTGACTCAAACCTACATATTACATATGTGACACAAACCTACATGTTACATATGTGACTCAAACCTACATGTTACATATGTGACTCAAACCTACATGTTACATATGTGACTCAAACCTACATGTTACATATGTGACTCAAACCTACATGTTACATATGTGACTCAAACCTACATGTTACATATGTGACTCAAACCTACATGTTACATATGTGACTCAAACCTACATGTTACATATGTGACTCAAACCTACATGTTACATATGTGACTCAAACCTACATGTTACATATGTGACTCAAACCTACATGTTACATATGTGACTCAAACCTACATGTTACATATGTGACTCAAACCTACATGTTACATATGTGACTCAAACCTACATGTTACATATGTGACACAAACCTACATGTTACATATGTGACTCAAACCTACATGTTACATATGTGACTCAAACCTAGATGTTACATACGTATGTGACACAAACCTACATTTCACATATATGACTTAAACTTGTATGTCACATACATGACTTAAACCTACATATCATACATATGACTTGAACTTGTATGTCACATATGTGACTTAGACCTACATATCATATATATGACTTGAACTCGTATGTCACATACATGACTTAAACCTACATGTCACTTATATGACCTAAACCTACATGTCATATGATTTAAACTTGTACGTCACACATGACTAAAACCTATATCGGCCGATAAATATTTAACGTCATCAACCTGTCAGGGGTTAGATCCAATGTAGAATTTATTGGAAAATGGTTTCGGAGCTATATCGGTGGAAATTATAGTTTATTTTTGGCAGCTCTAGATAGCAAGTAGGACACGTTCGAAGCAGAAACTTACCGTCTCTCGTAGGTCGCGATCCCGAGACGTCAGGATCCGGTGGTCGCGTCGGGACGCGGCGATCAATAGAAGAGCAAAAGGCACATGTCCCGGTAACTTCTCACGCGGCGATGCACTTCAGCTTGGCGGTCATGCTTCACCAATGCCACGATCTTGTTGACAACCTCGATGTCTCAACAATTAAAATCGACAGTCTGCAGATATGATTTAAAAATAAACTTCCTCTTCAATTTTCAGAATCTTTCTGAATATTGTCGAATTTTTACTTTGAGTACAAATATAAGAATGACTTCAAGATTATGATGGTACTCTAACTCCTTACCCCTTCAAGATTTTACGTCTTTACGTAGCCACTTAATGTAACACTTAATGTATCCACTTAATGTGATGTAACACGTAACGTGACATATCCAGAGATTAATGTTACAAGAATGTAGTATAAATGAAAGTAGGAGCAGGGGGTGGTCCTCCCTTGTCTTCAAGATTAAGTCTTCAAAATAGAGTATCCAGAATGTCTAGACGTCACGCGATCTGAACCTCAATGAACCTCTCCCTTCGAAACGGGAGTAGGAAATTATGAACGACGGTCGAATAGGCGTTGGTTAGGTTCACATCGTACACAGTTCAGAGGTAGAAACTTCCATGAGAGATTGATTGCGAGATGAACGACAAAGCATGAATAAACATCGCGATGGAAACGAGATCAGTCGTCGCGACGCTGGCGTCGATACGAGGAACACGAGAGCCGAGAAAAGTCGGGACACTGCCATCGGGTAGACCGACGACCCGGTGTGGTTCTCCTAACACGACGACGCACTGCGCCGACGTCGCGACGTCGACGACGTCGTCACCTAGGCGACCACGACCTCTCGCTCTCCTCCGCCTCTTCTATCGCGGAGGGTGGATCGATCAATCGAAGTCGGCCGAGTACAGCGCTCTCCGAGATATCGAGATGTCGAGAGGGAGGAAATGCACTTTTTCTTTTCTTTTCGATACTTTGGTATCGTGTTCCACGCTTCGACGAAACGGTAACACTATTGTCACACATTTCTCTTATCGGACGCTTGCTTCAATTGACATTTGAAATTTTATGAAAGGAGGTTGATTCGAATAATCACACGATGAAAGGGTTGATTACGTAGATTTACTGTTCACACGATATCGTGTGCATGCATGCTTAGAGTTTATTGGCTCAGTTTAAAAGCAATTATACATACATACAATTATATGTACATAGGTTCAAAATATATTTAAACCCATTACGTATGGTTTTATAAAGCGTATTACGTGAACTAACATTTTTAGCGAGAACACATTTTCATATCAAATAGCCGAATATCGATCAAAGCTAAATAGACAGAAAATCGATGACACAATCGATAACCTCAAGTACCAAAAATCAAGAAGGTTAAAATGGTGAAAAATGCCATAAAAGTGTACGCTCGAGTGAAGCCCGAGAAGAACAGGAAGAACGTGCTGGTACATAGTCAAATATACAAAGCTAACCCCTATTTTTCATTGTACATTCTTTCTAAAAGAATTACCAAATCCATCACCGTCCCAAAGAAAACGTGGAGGAAGATTTCCTGTTTTTGGTAACACCGAGCCAAAAAACGAAAGAGTACCCCGACAACCGAGCGGAGTCATGGAATTTCTCGTGAGATAGCAAAATTAATATTTAGCTTTCATAGATGCGAATCGGGTACTACTTTCAGTTTCTATCGGATATTCGAGGAATCCACTACGCAGGAGGACGTGTTCAAGACCGTTGCTCAACCCGTGGTGGAAAGGTAAAAGGAATCGTATCGTTCGTTAATTAATGAGAATATAATTCACGATCTTCATTCAGATGCCATTTCTATTAAAGTGCCCTCGATGGCTACAACGGTACCATCTTTGCTTATGGACAGGTACGCTCTAATTATATTGCCATGATGGTTAAAATTTGTAAAATTGAATTAGTGAAGTTGTTTGGAGAATGTCAAAAGATTTTGTGACTCTTCAACTAAGTCTAAAATATTGTGGCAGTCGGTAAACGCTCTAATTATATTGCCATGGTACAACATTTGTAAAATTGAATTATTGAAATTGTTTGGAGAACAGCAATAGATTTAGTGATTCTTCAACTAAGTCTAAAATATTGAGGCAGTCGGTGAACGCTCTAATTATATTGCCATGGCACAAAATTTATAAAATTAAATTAGTGAAATTGTTTGGAGGATGTCAAAAGATTTTGTGAATCTTCAACTAAGTCTAAAATATTGTGGCAGTCGGTAAACGCTCTAATTATATTGCCATGGTACATTTGTAGAATTAAATTAGTGAAATTGTTTGGAGAACAGTAAAAGATTTTGTGACTCTTCAACTAAGTCTAAAATATTGTGACACTCTACTGACGTCTATATGTAACAACAGATTAGTGATAGATGTGTCTATGTCACATAATATGTATCTAACGTGTAACATGGACAATCTACTCTACGTAACGTGGCAATATAATACGTTTATTTATGACATAATTTTGAGAACCTTGCAGACAGCAAGTGGAAAGACATATTCCATAACCGGAAGACGTGAGAGCGTCGAGCAGCTCGGAATCTTACCCAGAACCCTACTGCACCTCTTCGAGGCGATAGAAAAGGTAGCATTACTGTTAAGTGTGATAACAGAATTGGTACAGAGCCCTTCTCACAGCGCCCAGAAAACGTCTACTCGGTCGAGGTGGCTTATCTGGAGATTTACAACGAGAATGGCTACGACCTGTTGGATCGGAAGCTGCGAGAGGTTACGAGATTGGAGGATTTACCGTAAGAACCTATTTCCACAAAGTGCATTTCTCTAAGTCCAGTTATAATTCAAACGTTACCTAATATTTTTGAAAAGTCAATTAATTGATGGTAACATTTGATAAAGAAATCCATCGGTTAGTGTTTAGTACTCGGTTAGTATTTCCATCAAGTATTTTTAAAAAGTCTTAATTGACAGTCTACTGTGCTAACAGGAAGCTCGGTTAATTCGCTATCATGCAGGTAATGGTAGGTTTTATGGGACGAGGGAAATTGACGACGTAACTCGATTAATTAATGAAGATCCTTCGTGTTTCTAGACGAGTAGTTGTCCAGGAAGACGAAATTGGTCGACTACACCTGAAGAATCTGACCTTCCACTGCGTTGCAAGCGCGGAGGACGCTTTCGAGCTGCTCGCAGTGGGCGACGGCAATCGGTGAGATAATTTGCAATGGTATTGTTGTCTCGAACCTGCAACATGCGTGGTCGTGACCAGTTTCTAGAGTAATTTAACCCTTTCAAAGAATTTTTTCGAGCTGACTTTCAAGCGGAAGTGGTCGATGTTTATTTCTTCTTAATCGTAGGATTGTACTGAGAGAAATTACGACTTTCTTTAGATTAATGGTTATATAATTTAGGTATATGAGAGTTAATGTTTAATAAGATTGATTTGTTGGAAGGGTCACTGTGGAGACTCCGATGAATCCAGAGTCATCGAGATCGCACTGCGTCTTTACCATCGTAGTCTGCACGAAGGAGTTCGGAGCCGACGAGTATAAGCGAGCGAAAATACACCTGGTAGACCTTGCTGGGTTCGTATACTCCCGCTTTGATCGACCGAAGGTACAATGGCAGCTTAGGCTAACCTCGTGTAGGACAGTGCTGTACTGACAGAACCTCTGGAGCTAACTGTATGGAGCTATAGAGATTTGCATTAATCTTCTCGTCATTTTTAACTAAATTTGTTCAAATGTAGTTGCTTAGGAGTTTCGTATAAACTGACTGTTATTATGAGATCATTGAGTACTTTAATTCAATTTTATTTTCAAAAGATAATTTCGTCAGAATATATTCATCATAACATGACTATTAACTATTGACTACTGACTGCTAGTATAAAACTACTGTATTTTCAGTAATTAACTAAATATCATTTGCTTGAAAAACAATTTGACCAAATTCAAACGGTGCTTCAGTTTCTGTGAATTTAGTTCAGTAGAAATTTTCAGTGATTAACTAAATATCATTTGCTTGCAAAACAGTCTCACCATATTCAAACGGTGCTTCAGTTTTTGTGAATTTATTTCAGTACAAATTTTCAGTAATTAACTAAATGTCATTTGCTTGCCAAACAGTCTCACCATATTCAAACGGTGCTTCAGCTTTTGTGAATTCAGTTCAATAGAAATAAAAGAAATAAAATGAAATAAATCAATGAAATGATTAACATCCAAAACGACCCACTTGCCAACAATTTTTCCATGCTTTCTCATCGCCATCTGCGATGGTGGCGAAATTTCGTAACGGTACCCGATTTTTCAACGAGATCTCCTCGTAGGTCCGAGCGAGTCTACAAATGCTCGATAAGCGGCACCATTCTAACCGAGGCGAAGCACATTAACCTGAGCCTACATTACCTGGAACAAGTCATAGTGTGTCTGGGTCAGGAGAGCGCGGGTCACATTCCATACAGGTGCTAAATTCAAGAACCCGTGACTATTCATTCACTACATGCTTCTACTAGTCATTGTATTAAATTACTTTCGTTATAATTCCTTGTTTACTGTTTACTTGCTGTGGTACACCGTTATGTTGACTCGAGTGTGCCTCGACTAGGTTCACATAACGTGGATATTTAGCTGATGGCAATGTAACTTTCTGTTATGTTATTATTTTTATTTTTGTAGCATTATGTTAACTTTGCTTTTACTGTATTAAGTTATTATTTTGTTTAGTATTCTTTTATAAAATCTTTCAATGATTCATGTAATGTGGACAACTGTATTAGCTAAATAGCTAATGGCAACATAACTTTGTGTTATGTTATTATTTTTATTTTTGTAGCATTATGTCAACTTTACTTTTACTGTGTTAAGTTAGCATGTTGTTTAGTATTATCTTATAAAATCTTTCAATGATTCATGTAATGTGGACAACTGTATTAGCTAAATAGCTAATGGCAATATAACTTTGTGTTTTGTTATTATTTTTATTTTTGTAGCATTATGTTAACTTTACTTTTACTGTGTTAAGTTAGCATGTTGTTTAGTATTCTCTTATAAAATCTTTCAATGATTCATGTAATGTGGACAACTGTATAGTTAGTTAATAGAAATATAACTTTGCAATATATATTTATTATTTTTATATTATTATAACATTACTTTTAGTATACTAAGTTACGTTGTATAGCACCCTCATACAAAATCTAACAATGTCATAAAAATGAAAGAGATTCAAAAACAGCTTCAAAGACAATAGGTACTTTCTTATTTGAAAAGTGACCCATTTGAATGGTGACAGTCAAACTTGACTATCATTAATTGTCAAATTATGAAACTTTCATTCTTCTCTTTTAACGACTATGACACTCTTACTCTTATCATCTTACTCTCCTATCTTTTATTTTTCAGGAACTCGCTTTTGACATCGATTCTCAGAGACAGTCTAGGAGGAAACTGTTTAACCACAATGTTAGCCACCATGAGCATCGCCTCCTTCAATCTAGAGGTGATCCCCTAACCACCCCTTAATTAACTTCCACCTCTTAACTTAACATTTCCTGCACATCAGGAGACCCTGTCCACCTGTAGATTCGCCCAAAGGGTAGCTCTCATCAGAAACGACGTGAAACTGGTCCTAGAAAAAGACGTCAACAGCGAGAACGCCTTACTAAAACTAGAAAACGAGAAGCTCAGACGACAGATTAAGGAAATGACGAAGAACACAGTAAATTTCTTGGTGCTTTGATTACAGATCTGAAGTTTTAATCGATTTTATTAATAGGAGCTCACCGCTGAAGATAAGCGAAATCTTGACTCGCAGATCAGAAACTTTTTAGAAGCGGACGGGCAAGTTGAAGTGGGAAACAATGTCAAGAAAATTGAGTATTGTTTCGAGAGTTTTAGGAGGGTCTTCAAGTTGAATAAAGATAAGAACGGTTGCTTGAAGAAGCTGGAGTATTATAAGGATCTGGTTATTCAGAGGGACAAGGAAATTTGTATCCTATTTAATATTTGTTATCTACTTTGTAACTGTTCTTATAATTTTTGTCTACTTTTTTATTTATTTATTTTCTTTGAGTATTTTCCTGAAGTCTAAGTAGCTTTGCTGATTGATTTGATGAAGAAAGGAAAAGAAGGTTACAAACTCAAGTATCCATAAGTATTCTTTCGTTATTAATAATACCTCGTTCGAATAATGTCTCATTGAATTTTCAGATTCGACAGAAAAAAATTTGGAAAACCTAAAACCTGTTCCTAAAACAGTTCAGACGACAGACAGTTCAGACATCGACGTTGATAAAATTAAATTAAACCTAGAGTGCAATGGACTTAACAACCCCCGTAAGATCAAATTAATTCTACAAGCTACATTTTATTTTAATAAATTAAATTTCAGCATCAGAAACCAGCAAAATTGCAATCGATAAATTTCTGACCGCTATTCCAAAGAAACCGAGGCCCAAAATTAAATTGCCAAAATGTTTGGATCAAAATATTGATACGAATGTTAGAACTGCTGATTCTGATCAGATTACTATCAGATCAATTTGTAATGATATCTCGAGACCGAATTTACCTTGCAACGTTATCAACTTGACTCTGAATTCAACCGACGAACCGAGTCAGCAATCCTTCCGCAAAAAGGAACGGGAGAAAGCGAGGAGGGAAATTGAGGCTCCCAAAAAGAAGTCCGAAGTGAAGCAAAGTGTGGAGCCGAGTCGGAGCAACGATTCGGAAGAGAGAATAGAAAATTTAGATACAGATATACCGTTGCATCAACGATTTTTTAATTTGAAAGGTTCCATGACTGAAAATTTGAGTGGAAGGAAGTTCGAGAAAGGGAAGAGGGAAGTTGAGGGGCTCAGAAAGAAGTCCGAAGTGAAGCAAAGTATGGAATCGAGTGGAAGTACTATTTCTTCGGAGTCGAAAGAAGGAACAGAAATTTTGGATACCGACACACCGTTCTATCAAAAATTCTTAAATTTCAACGTTCCCAAAATCTCAAATGCTTCCATGGTTGAAAATTTGAGTGGAAGGAAGTGTGAGAAAGAGAAGAAGGAAATTGAGGGTCTTAGAAAGAAGTCCGAAGTGAAGCAAAGTACAGAACCGAGTAGAACTCCCATCTCTTCCGAGTCGAAAGAGAGAACAGAAATTTTGGATACCGACGCACCGTTCTATCAAAGATTTTTAAACTCGAACGCATCCAAACCTTCCATGACTGAAAATTTGGCGGGAAGAAAGTCTGAGAGCGCGAAGAAAGAAATTGAGGCTCCCAAAAAGAAATTCGAAGGGAAGCAAAATACAGAACCGAGTGAAACTCCCATCTCCTCCGAATTGGAAAAGAAAACAGAAATTTTGGCTACCGACACACGGTTCTATCAAAAATTCTTAAACTTCAACGTCCCCAAAATCTCCAGTCCCTCCATAACCCAAAATTTGACCGAAAGAAAGTCACAAAGTGCACCTAAAATAGAATCCACAGATTGTAAACTATCTCGAATAAATTCCCAACAGGATTACAAGATAAATCCCAACGAAGATAGCATTGACTTAAAATTTTTAGAAAGACCCGATAGAAGGAGAGAAAACGTAGATATCGATCATGTAACTCACACAAAAGTCGGTAGCAATTTACGAGATATCGGTTTACCACATAGAAACGAGGTGGAAAATGAGGCAAAAGAAAGTCACTCGAGAATGTGTTCCTCTGATAAGATAGACAGAAAAACGAGCGAAAAGAGAACTAGTATTTCCAGTTTCAATACAGAAAAATGCGAGCGGACGAAAATTATGAAGGAAGTCAATGAAGCTGCGAATTACGAGAAATGTTTTACAGATTCGTTGCCTTTAACTGGTGATCCAGAGATCGATGAGGAGATTATTGCTTTTTATAAGGCGAAACGGTCTGGGGGTACTTATTGAATCTTGAAAGAGTGAACTATAGCTGTAGTTTCAAGTGTATTACAAATATGTACAATAATTATAAATAACAAAGTTTATGTTCTTTAATTTCATTAAAGGACTTGTCCTACACTTTAGGACAGGAGAGCTCCATGTCTAGTTTTTCACCGTGCATGTCTGCTTCTAGAATCGTTAGACGATTTTCGTGAACCAATGCGAGACAGTGTCGTTTCACCACGTTTGTGTATTTTCTGATTTTTAGGGTGAATATTTTGTCAACGTCCATTCTTATGCTGTCTCTGTACAGGAAGCCTTCAATACCTACGAAGAGAATAAATGAAGTTTGCAGATGAGAATAGAGGGTTATTTAATAAATGGATGTACATTCAGTGTTGAGGATATTATAAAATTATGTACTGTGTGAATGTATTGTACATTATTATACAGGGTGTCTCACAACTAGTGTAGGTCTCTAGGGGGTAGCTGACGTGATTCTAAATAAGGTTTCCCTTTGCAAAAATGGGATCTGAAGCTCCGATTTGGAATTATTAAGGATAAACACGGATCAGTCAGAGCGCGTGGTAAATACAATGCGTAGTAAATACAACGCGTGGTAGACAACGCATGGTAAATACAATGCGTGGTAAATACAACGC